AGATTTCAAATGTATTATCAACTGATAAGTGGCATATTCTGGGTATTAGTTTGAGACACAAATAATTATATGTTTTGGAATCTATTTGAATAGAATTGATGTGAAGACACTCAATATGTGGACACAACTTATTGATTGTACTCAAGAAGTTTATGTTTAGAGTTAAATATCGCAAATCCATTGATAAAAGTTGTTAGGTTTGTTTGCATTGACTACATTTGAGACACGCATACAACTCTCTCTCTCTCTCTCTCTCCCCACGTTTCACTTATTTACCATATATTTTCATATTCATCAATAGTTTCTTTCTATTTTTATTCTCATTACTTGTAATGTCTATTAATTGTCATTAAATCACTAATATTTGGTTGGTTTTGGTTGTAATATATGTTAGTTTTGATAACATTATGATTATTATGATTACCATTTTAAAGCAATTCTTAGTTGTATTTTTATCATTCTTAATGTTTAGCGATAACCACATAAGTCATCAGATATACAAATTTCAATCAATCCGTTTTTTCTTCACATGTATTCAAATAAATTCATTCATAATTAATGAATACTACAAATTGAATTGAATTGAATTATTTCACATTTTATAATATCGCTATTACTTAGGCTAATGTTAAACAAGCCTCTCACTTAATCCTTTGCACAACTAATTGTCATGTCATTCTACCCCCTCTTCCACCTTATGGTAAATAATATGAGATCTACTGTTAAGTCTAGCCGCCCTCCCTAACCCTCCCCACCCTTCGATTCATATGAATACATGTGAATAACAAGCGAATTGGACTGAGATTTGTATATGTGATGAATATGTGTATATCTGGCGATAACTATTGGCACAAATCTTTTCTTTTATATCTTATGTTTCCCTCTATTTGTTTAACATTTCTTATATTTTCCTATATTTTAATTAAAATCACATCCAATACACCACACAATGGATTAGTTGTCAACCTCTCAATCACTTTCATACTTAAACTTTTCTTTCACTCAAACCTTAAAACATTTTCAACGCAAACATAAAATATTACACAACAGAGACTACAGTCTAAAAATATTATATTCTGAGCATAAAAACTAATGTTAGGCTTAAAATTAATATATATTTTAGTTATTCTCATCTCATATATGGTATGAATTAATAAAAATGAAGTCTAAATTATATTACATTTACTGTTAATGTTATACTTTAATTATATTAAATATCGATTCTAAGGTAAGTCCTCAATATTACAACAAAATATTTTCTTGATTTGTTTTATAACGAATAAAATTAATTAAATATATTATACCAACCAAATTATTATGTTCTACATCTCCATTAGATCTATATATTTTGAGATTTATTTTTTAATTATTTAAACGTTTATTAAGTTTTCTAAAGTAATATATCATTTGATTCGTTGCTTTATTAATGAAACGATTAATTGATTGCTAAACAGTAGAAGTGTTTGTGTGTTATTAACTAATGACTAACTCTGAGCAAAATTGCGATTATTTTCACTGAACGACAGCCTCATTGCCAGGAGTGCGGTATATCAGGACCCGTTCCTAACATACGCGGCCGCAACCGGTACTGATAGATATCAACTACCGGTCAGTTTTAATCACACTTATCGCTCGTTTATACATATTAATGATTGCGTTTACGTGCCTTTCCATTAACTATAGGCGAGTTATGCTGCGAGTGCTGCCTATACAGCGGCTGCTGCGCGTTCGTACGCGGCCGCAGCGGCAGCAGCTCAGGCCAACCCTGCCGTAGCCTACGCTGGAGTCGCCGGGTATGTACTCTATATTATCTCTTTTGTAATCAATGTTTAATGAATTCAACAATCAATACATTCATATCATGTTATGATGTGATCCCAAAGCAAACATTCATTTGAGCCAATGTTTTCATATCTATATCTAAACGCTTGAATATTTTAGCAGAAATTCAGAGAATATTCTTTGAATATTTTAAATATTGATGAAAATGTGTTAATATTTTATGTTTTGTGATGTGTTTTATAACAAACGAAAACAAAATATAATAATCTTTAGATATATTATATTCGTTTAGATTTGTGTTTATTTTATTGATTTTTCTTAACCAAAAATATAACTTAATATTCATTACGACTGACATATAAAGCTCAGTAATGGTTATGTGAATTGCTATCACATATGAGATATTTTGGACACATTTTTATCATAAAACTCTTGTAGAATTGAATGAATAAATTTTAAATTGTGATAAAAACTGTGCAAATATTTAGAAAAATAAGTTATTTTCTCTGAAAGTATTGATTAGACATTCTCTCGAGAGATCCCTTTTTGGCTTTTATTTAAGTCTTTTCTAAATTTAATTTTTAAACTTTGAGATAAATTTTTCTATTCTTTGAGATATTCTTTTAGATAAAGAATTTGAATAACAATAGCATCGAAACCAATGATTTGAGTGTTGACTCGAAATGTTTACAATTCTTGATGTGTTGAAACATTTACATATCATTTCATTTTTTATCATTTCTATCAAAACAGATCACGAATTGCTTCTGAAATAGTGTTTTCATTCAAACAAAGAAATTCAAAAATAACAATAAAATAGAATCGAAATATTTCTCGTCGAAAGTTATAACTTTAAAGTCAAACATGTTTTGAATAAAAAAAATGTATTCATTCTAATAATAGAAACTATTTTTAATATAACTTACAAAACGATATGTTATATTAAAACTTATGATACATTTATATTGCATATTTCATATGCGATCCATTTATTATTTCTCAATCCAACGAGATTTACGGTTATTATGATTAGGAAATAATAAAATTAAATAAATAATAATACATGTAACGAAAAGTTAATAAATCAAACAATTATTGATTTGTTCTCAAGAAATCCAATATAAACTTTCATTATATCGGATTGTTTTTGTCCATAAAATAAGTGACTTTTATTTTAATTTAGGGTAAAATCAACAAAATTGATGATTCGCTTAATGTTAAGAAATTTAATTTCGTTTTTTTTGAAAATTTGTTAAACTTTTTTATACTGTATTTTATTTGATAAAATGTTTTTCATTTAAAAAATACGACAGTCATTACATTTGTGTCATCACTACTTGTTCTGTATATCGACTCCGAGTATTACTCCGGAAAGCATTTGACTATCTTTTAAAAAATCTTTAATCCATTAATGTTTTAAAAGGAGTTTTTAGGCGAAGCTTAATAATAATAATACTTATATTTTAGAGTCCTTTAATATTGTGCGTTGTCTTTGGTTTTGCCATAATGTCTATCATAATTAGAATTCTAAAAATAATGTTTTGTATATTATTATAATTTTTATTATAAACAGCACTTCACTAACAAAATGATTGCTTTTAAGACTAAGAATTCTTGAAAATCTATTTGAACTAAACATATGTATTATAGACACAATGAATACCACATCATAATTAGGCATTTATTTCTTATTGTAAATTTAATTGTAGATTTTAAATTGAGGTTTTAGTTAGGCGTCGTTCACATTTTACGTTCGCACTTTAAGAAATCTCGACCCCTTCCCCCTATGTTCGCACTTGTTTGCTTCGGCTGACACCCTCCCTAAGTGCGAACGTAATATGTGATGCCTTATGATAAAGCATTGATAATTACTGTATTGACTCAAACGAATGTGTGATATATTTGTGAATTTTTAAAGAATTCATTTTAATTGGTTTCAAATATTACAAGTTTTGTTAGCAATGTTTGTTAAATTGATGGTAAAATAGTAATTAATGTGTTGTTTATGATATAGTTATGGACGTGAATTTGCTGAACCGTATTTAGGACACAGTATTGGACCGGTGGCCGGATATGGGGTGAGATATATGCATAACAAATGATGAACGGAATGTTTTCAACCTATGTTTTGCTCAACGTTTAGGTGGCGTATCGGAGCGCAGCGTATAATCGATTCACACCCTATTGAATACAAGGAATTAATTCAACAAAAAAATGCTTTTAAAATGAAAATCTCATAAATCAGTTATTTTTCCACAAAAACCCCAAAACTCAAGATAACGGAAGAAAATAACTTAAATATAATACTCGTGTATAGAATCGATTCAGAAAATAATGCAACTATTATTTGGAGTCTCATTCATAACCAAAACCAATATTTCTCTCGTTTGCTCTCTTGTCGTGTTTTCTTATAAATGTAGCGAAACTGTAATTTTATTTAATGTAACGATGAATATCATCTATTCTTTTCCCCCTTTATCTCTCTCCCCATTCTCTCACTCTTTAATAGAATCTAATGACTCGACTCTAAAAACAAATTATTTTTATCTCGTTTTTGATTGATTTTCTCGTTTTAATTGTTAAATATTAATGTTTTTAATTTAAAACAACAGATAAACAGTCAAATGTTCTTTTATTTGTGTTTTACTTTAAACAACTTTTTTCGAACTAATTTATTATTAACTCATTTACTTTAAATTCATCTCATTTGCAAACTCATGCATTTTAGACGACTTTTATTATTAATTATTATTTTTGTTTTTATAGTAATTTTTGATCGCTAGTCAACCAAATATAACTTAATTGTGTTTTATGTGAACACATTATAAATTAATTTGTATAAATTAATTTTTTGTGTTTCTAAGTATATGTTATTAATTTTTGCTTTAATGACAGAAACTGTTAAACAAAATACTCGAGTTAGATATCAAAGATAAACACAATCACTAAACATTTTGAGCCCTTTTTGAGTTGTTTTTTGTGGCGATTTTATTGAACAATTATTGCTAATTTTCAGCCCTTATTTAGTAGTTGTTCTGTTCGTTCAATTCCTCCCTCTCTTCCGTATAATTTTCTTATAAAAATATTCACATTTTTAAACCCTTTATATTATTAAAGAAATTTTAATCAATAGAAATTTTTGATAGAACTGAATTTGAAGGCAGCTTTAAATTAGTGTTAGTATAGCTTTTGAATCCATTATTACGTTAAAAATGACGAAAACAAACAATAGGATTGAGGCTTACATTGAATGACAGCTGAAAAACAATTATTAATAACTATATGTTAAGTGAATTATAAATTAAGAATTGGATTATAATCTGATTGTTAGAAATGCTCAAAATTTTTGAAAAATTTTGACGTTAAGACATAAAACTCTTTTCTCTATTTGTCTCTACAGTATATCTGAATATCTCTTTTAAATACATATTCGTATAATTCATATACAATACGATTATAATTATTACTATTGATTGTGATTAAAATTACTTTTATTATTACTATAAACTTATAAATATATTTAATTAATGGTAAACAATATTTAATGATGTAATTAATTGCTAAAACGATTGACAAAAAACAATTGTCTCACTCTTTAAAAATGCAAAACAAATGTGACATTTGTTTTTGATACTGATATTTAAAATTGAAAATAATTAGTTTCTACGAAAGATCGGCACAATTCTCAACAACTATACCAAAGAGTGTATAAAACATTTAATCCTTTATTTACTATTTCTCTATCGAATTGTAATTTCTATTATTATGCAAATAATTATTAATAATATTCTTATCACTTATTATTAATAATTATTTATTATTATAATTATCAAAACATACAATCAGTTAATTACTAGAATTATTATTAAATATATTGAAACAATTGTTTTACATTATTTTTGTCTGATTTATGTTTAATCTCGAAAACACCTTAAATGCCAATTAAACCAATGATTTTAGTATTTGTAAAGGAATTAAACAAAAATGTGCTAAACATTAATGTTATACATTTAAAAGGCATTAAAATACAGTATTATTTGAATTGTATACATATTAAACAATTGAGACTTATTGTCAACTTTTTATTTAATTGGAAATTTATTTTCTATTTATTTAAAGAAAATTTTTACATTAGATTTCTTCTATTTTTGCTCTTGTTTTCCACTAAATTCTACAGTATTTTTAAAATTAAATTTTAATATAAAGGTTGTAATCATTGTTAAAAAGAGACCATTTTGTACTGAAAAGTATTAAAACGACAATTTTGTCTCTTTTTATTTCTATGTATTTTTACAATCGATTATAATTTAATCCAAAATAGAAATTCAATGTAATCTCAAAACACAAACCAAACAAATATCATATGTTTGATAAAAACTGATGAAAGACTGAATCTCTGATAATTCATTTAAATTCTCATTTTGTTTGTATTTGTTGTTAAATTAAAATATAAATTAAATAATCATTTTACCAATTATTGTTTGTTTTATTACTAATTATTACAACATTTTAAAATAAAATATTCATTAAAATTTACAATCATTTTATTAATAAACAATATATTAGTTATACAGTATTTAATGAGTAAGGTGAACTTGATAAATTAGGGCATTTGGTTCATATACATCATATACAACAAATTATTAGTTCATACAAATCATTATGAACTAAAAGTATGGTTAATACATAAATATTAGGTTTAATTAATAACATTTCAAATTTTAAAATTGTATAAAGGAAATAGTGTTCCCAGGTCATTTTCCTAAATTCCTTGATTAACTCATGTTTAAGTAACTTTCTGGAATATTCCTTGAGTTGGCAAACTAGTCCTTAAATATCATTTAAATATAATAATTATTAAAATATTGAGTCCAAAAACAACGAAACATGTAAATATTCATGATTTGCAATATTATTCACATAAAATAATTATGCTCATTGTAATGTTTGACAAATTAATTATAAGATAACAAACAAAAAATAAATTCTGAATACAAAAATTCCAGTATTTAGCTTTATACTAATTTTTCAAATAAAAAGTGTACATATTTATCAATATATTCATTACTATACAATCCCTTGGAATGGGAGTCGGACTCTGATTCCGGGAGAGTCGCGGGCAACCAATTTGAAAGCACTTTTAGTATATCTATTGAATCAACAATTAAAGCATTTGTATTTTAGTCGTAAATTAGGAAATATGCGCTCAAACCTTATAAATGTTATTTCATTATTAATAATATCCAGTATTTGAATTTACTTGATATAAATTATGGGACATTAATAATACTTGTTTTCACGTATTAGTTAAGGATTCAACACAAATACTGATATTATTATAGATAATGATCGCACTTTATATGATTGACAAATCCTGTATTCTTGTGCTCTAATGGCACTGATTTGCTGTAATGAATTGTAATGTTGTAATAATTAGTTTAATAGCCTCAATACGATGGCAGCAAAGAGTCATATCTGTACTCAATTAAAACGATAGTCTCTTCGACTCAAATCCGGATCTGAATTGTAATACAAATGAGTTGTCTTTCAAACACAATATACAGAAAGTGTTGATATTTTTAGTATTTTATTAAAGCAACGATTGCTAAGGGAATCGGAGAATCGATTTTAACATTAATTTTCACTCAAAGTGTTTCACATTTAATAAAAAGTTTTGGCAAAACTTATTCTTTTCTCTAATCATATCTTTTGAGTTATACTTCAGTTTTATTGCTATTATTTTATGATTGATTTCTTAGTTAATATCCAATCAAACAAAATAGACTATAATTTCTAATACAATATACTTCACAATATATAATAGTGTTGTGTAGTATCTGAAGCCTTAATACACGACGTTTACAACTCTGCCATCAATTGCTATGAGAGGTCATTGAAATTTATAAAGTATTATAACCAAAATTACATATTAATGGTTAATTTGTCTTAAATATAAGTACACAATAAGATAATACAATAACTATTTAACGGATAACCAAACCTACACTACTGGACACCAAGAATTAACTGACTTAACGAGTGTTTCAGTAATTAGCACATGAATTGTATTGTTATTCAGACTCGACAGCAATTGTATGGACACTAATCTGTTTTATTAAGCCTTTGCCACTGGAATTGACTTTTCATGTTATTTGCTATTTATTATATGAATTATGTAGAACAAAGTCATTCATAAATTACACATTAACCTCAATTTTATGGACACTCTGTGTCTGAGATAATCATTTAAATGGTCACAGAAACAGTTTGTTTGGTTTAAAAACATTCTCTCAAAATATCTTTAAATCTAGAGATTTAGCAATTTTTTAAAAATCAGTTAAAAAAATCAATTTATATGCAATTGTTTGAGTCGACAAAAATGCATACAAGTGTTATTATTTCGTGTGTTTCACAGATTTATCATTTCCTTATATCTGCCAAAAGTATCATTGGTTTTACTCAACAATTTTTACTACTTTTTAAATACAGTATCGTTTTGTGAATATTTCAGTTTTATCTCTTTTTCTTCCTCCAGTCTTCAGTAACTCTTTAATCAAAATATCGTTTTTACACAATATGTTAAGCATTTTCTCATTAATTATTTAAATTAATAATAAAATATATTGAATTAACACAACCATAAATTGTCATCAAATCTGAAACACTTAGCCTTACAATGGCTTACAATGTGTTAAATCATTTTATATAAAAAATGTGGTCCTATATTAATATCTGATTAAATAATGTGGAGTTAATCCTTATGTTTTGCATTAAAATATTGTTCTCCAAAACTTGAATTTTGTGTGTGTTTTAATCCTAGTAATATATGTTACATTTTTTTGAGAAATACAGTGATGTAACCCTATGTTCCACACAAATCCGCTCTTTACTCATTGGATGATATGATGAACAGTTTTTTATGGGAAAATGATTTTACATGGGTTTCTATGCGAATACAGCTTAAGAACATGGCATAGGATGAGAGTAATGTTATTTCAATGGGATAATGCTTTTCTATGGATATATTTTACAAATTTGACAAAATTTAATCAAACCAATTGTTGTTAAAATATTTAAAATTCTGAAAATAACAATAATGAAAGTATTCTCACAATAGTATTGAAAAATGTAAACGTTTTGAGCATTACCGAATTGTGGTTAACGCATAGCATCGCGTGTGAACCTTGTTTAAATATTAAAATGTTAATAAATATTAATTAAATTAGTCAACAAAAGTAATATAGAAATAAAGTTTGTAAAATAAAATTTAAAATTCCCGTAGAGTTAACAAAACCTATTTATAATTCAGTAATTTGTGATAAATTAACAAATGGTTATATATTTTCAATTTTAATATAACATATTTTTCGCTCTGTCTTTCTTTCTTCTCTTATTTATGGCAAAAATCTTTCGTAAAAAGAAAAACGGAGAGAAAGGAGAGAGAGAGAGAGAGAGAGAGA